AGCGTGCCACCATGGCCAGCTGCCACATTTTTAGTTACTGATTTTGCTTTAAGAGATGAATAGATACCTGTAGAAAATACAGGAATGTATTTAAATTTATTTTCCTTCCATGGCCTGATGTGGTGGTACACACCTGTAATCCCATTACTCAGGAGGCTGAGGCAGGAGGATCACCCGGAATTTGAGATCAGCCTTTGCTACATAGTGAGTTCAGGTCCAGCCTGGACTACATAAGGAGACCTTGTCTCTAAACTAGACTAGACTAGACTAAACTAAACTAAATTCAACACTACACTACACTACACTACACTACACTACACTACACTACACTACACTACACTACACTACACTACACTACACTACACTACACTACACTACACATCTTCCTGCCAGACGCTTTTCCCGGTCACATTGAACAGTCCCCGCTTCCTCTCAGAAAGTTTTTATTTGTCATGAAACCCTCACGCCGCAGGGAGGCATCCTGGCCAGCAGAGGGCGCGGAAGGACCGCGCCCGGCCGGGCGGAGCGCTCCGCTCCGTGCTTCGGGTCTGTCGCAGCCCGGCCGCGGAGGTGGCGCGGGAGGACCCGGGACCACGGATCAAAGGGTCACCGCGGCGTCCCCGGCCCTCGCCCCCTCAGGCCCGCACCTCGAGCTGGCCCGCGGCCCGGCCTCGCCCGAGCCTGGTCCCACTGGGGCTTGGGTGGTCTCCGCCCGCCTACCCCGGCCACCGCGAGGACGAGTCAGGACGCAGCCGGGATCGAAAGGTCCCGGCCGCTCCGGCCGCCCGAGCGCAGGTGCGGGACCAGGGAACGAAAGGGAAGGCGAGGCCCGGGCGGTGGGTGCTTCGAACAAGTAGAGGCCGCTGGGCGCATTTTCCCACCCCGGCGTCCCCAGGAGAGAGGAGCCATATGCTCTCCACGCTCAGGGAAACCGAGGCACAGAAAGGCTGGGTGGCCGGGCGTGGTGGCGCACGCCTGTAATCCCAGCACTCGGGAGGCTGAGGCAGGAGGATCGTTGTGAGTTTGAGACCAGCCTGGGCTACAAAGTGAGCTCAAGGCCAGCCTGCACTGCATATCGAGACCCTGTCTCAAACAAACACAAACACACACACACAAGAGAGGCTGGGTGACTCGCCCAGGGTGACCCAGCCGGAAGAGGTGGAGTCCGAGGAGGAGTCACGCCCTTGCTCTTGCCTGAGCCCTCGCAGCCTGGAGATAACAGAGTAGGGTCCTGGGATGCACGGCGGGCGCCGAGGAGGGCGTGGGACTCCGCTGTGGCAAGTTTCCTTAATCAAGCGACCTTTCTTTTTCCGGTCGTGGTGCCAGTGCCACATGTGTTAGTCCCAGCTCCAGGGAGGCTGAGGCAGAAGGATCGCAACAAGTTCAAGGCCAGCCTGAATTACATAGTGAGACTGTCAACAAAACAAAACAAACACTTTTAAAAATAAGTTTGTGTGTGTGTATGTGGTGCTGGAGATGGAGCCCACCCTCCTGCATGTTAAATACACCGTAGCTACCACAAGGAGTCGAGTTGCATATGTACTACATTTTTTAAAATTTATTTTTTATATGTACTACATTTTAAAAACTAATACTAGGGCTGGGGATTTAGCTCAGCGGCACAGCGCCTGCCTGGCAAGCGAAAGGTCATGAGTTCGATTCCCGGTACCGGAAAACAACAACAACAACAACAAAACCCTAATACTAAACAGGACAGTATGGAGCTGTAGCAGCTCACGTGCATCCTCTCAGGCCTGCTTCCTTCCCCAAACTCCACTCAGTTCCGAGTTAAACCAGGCACCGTGAAGGCAACGCCTCTAATCCCATTGCCCTGGGAGCCCGAGGCAGAAAGATGGGAAGTTTAGCCACTTAGTGAGCCCCGAGTTCAATTCAGTGCACCCTGACCTCAATCCTGAGTACCAAAAACAAAAGAATAAAAATTGTAGTAAACATTCACTTACAGTAGCCGGGGGTGGTGGTGCACGCCTGTAATCGCAGCACTGGGAAGGCTGAGGCAGGAGGATCGTTGTGAGTTCAAGACCAGCCTGGGCTACAAAGTGAGCTCAAGGCCAGCCTGAACTGCACAGCAAGACCCTGTCTCAAAAGGACAAAAAAAAAAAAAAAATTACCTGCATTTCTTTATAATTTTACCACCTTCGTGTATATATCTGGGGTGCATGTGTGTGTGTGTATCCCTAAACAATATAGCGTTTGAAGGCTTGCTTTGGAAGCATGTGGAAACCCAGCTACACATTTGTTTCTGACTTTTTTTTGAGACAGGGTCTCACTGTGTAGCCTAAACTTGCTTCAAACTCAAGCTCCTTCTGCTTCAGCCTCCTAAGTGTTAAGATGACAGATGTGTACCACAGGCAGGCTCTTTTTCTTTTCTTCTTTGGTTTGTTTGTATTTTTGTCTTTTTTGAGACAGGGTCTTGCTATGCAGTTCAGGCTGGCCTTGAGCTCTCTTTGTAGCCCAGGCTGGCCTTGAACTCGCAAAGATCCTCCTGCCTCAGCCTCCCAAGTGCTGGGATTACAGGCGTGCACCACCATGCCCAGTTCTAGCTCATTTTTTTTAAAAAAAAAACAAAACTCATTTTTGAGCTGGCAATATATTTCAGTGGCACAAGCGCCTGCCTGGCAAGCAAGATGTCCTGAGTTCGATTCCTGGTGTCAAAAAAAAAAAAAAAAATCAAATCATTTTTGAGACAGCAGCTTGCTAAATTGCCCAGGCCCGCAGGTGGCTGGGATCACAGGTGTTTGCCACCTCACTGGCCTGTTCGTTTTGTCTGCAGGAGTGTGATGCCTGTTCTCTTTTATGAGGTCGGGTTTGGAGCGGGGCATCAATTCCTAACACCGACGCTCTGCGGAAGAACCAGGAGAGGTCTTGAAAGTGCTAATCCAGAATCCCCACCCCTAGTAATTAAATCAGGATGTCGATGGGCCGGGTTCCGCTGATTTTGAAAGTTCTCTAGGGAAATCTAATGTGCCTCGGGCTGAGAACCCCTGGGCTGGGCGCAGAGAGTCGCGTCACTGGCTGATGTGAAACTTTCCCAAGCGACTTTGCCCATTGACACTCGGGCCAACCTTCACATCCTCATCAACGCTTGACACTGACCAAATTTTTGCTTTTTGTGCCCCTGGGGTGTGAAACGGTGTCTTACTGTGGTTTTAATTTGCATTTGTCTCAAATGCTGGGAGGGTGGTGGGATGCAGTGTGAACGGCGAATAAAAGGAGGCAGCCAAGGGAAGAAGGGATGAGACGGTGGGGGGCTGAGCGGCAGGTGCCAAGGCCCTGTGGTGGGAACCGCTGGGATGCAGGAGGGACAGAAAAGTGGCAGGGAAAGAGCTCAAGACAAGGTCAGCAGGGTCGCAAGCCTGGGAGGGTCTGAGTTGAGGGCGTCGTCGGCCCCTTCTGCTACAAGTGGAGACCACGACTGAACCAAAAGGCCCTGAGGGGGGTGTCCCCACTGTGCACCTCCGCACCCCCTAGAACGAGGGGAAGTGGTTTGCTCACAGTGGATATCTCCAGCACCTAGGGACCCAGACACGCAACAGTGCCCGGTGTGGGGGTCAAGGATTTCCACGGCCCTTGCTTCGCAAGTGAAAGCCAGGACGTGGTCGCCGGCCCGGCCCTCCTGCTTCTTTCCCAGAGGCCAGGCCGGCGTGGAGCTCCCCGCCCCGGCCCCGCGGCGTCTCAGACCCTCGCGCCCGTCCTCCGGGAGGTGCGGCCCGCCTCAGCGCTGCCCTTGCGGCTTCTGCCCGCAGTGGTCCTTCCCAGCGAGACTACCCAGGTCCCTCGCGGCTGAGAACTTTCCGTGGCTCCCCAGTGCCCGCGACCGAAGTCCAAACCCAGGGCCGGGGGCCGCAACCTGAGCCCTCGCGGCCCGCCCCCGCCCCCGCCGGGAGCCGCTAGCGCGCCGAGGCGGTTCCTGCTGGTGACCTCGGCCTTCCCCTTGATGTGTCTGCACTTCCTCTGGGAAGTCGCACCTGAGCCGGTCAGGAGACCGCCGCTCGCGGCCGCGTCCTCGCTCCCCGCCCCCATCAAAGCGCGCCTGCCTTTGCATCAGAATCGCCTGTTTACCCCGTCTGCCTCCCCTGCCGCCGGAGCCCCGCGCTGGGGACCCGACTGTTGTGCTCGGGCTGCGCCCGCGGCTCCGGACAGCGCCCGGCTCCCGGCTCCTGGCAGGCGCTCGGCAAACTTTTTTTTTTTTTTTTT